GACCGAGACGGCGATCATCGGTTTCTTCCTCTCGAAGAGGAAGGTCGCGTACGAGAAACCGGACGGAACGACGGAAAGGGCGATTATACGCGACGGTCGTCCGACGTTCACTCCGTGGCCCTGTACGGAGTACCGATGTGGCCCGAATTGGTGGCGGCATCCCGGCCGCTTCGCGAGAGGGCGATCCAACCCCAAAGGGCGTCTCTGAACAAGGTGGCGTACAGAGACGTCGCTTCTCTTCTTCCGGGCACTCCCCCGCTCGACCTCCTAGCGATGGAGAGATGCGAGCGGGGTCGCGACGGGCGATGGATCCATGTCAGTGTCTTCTTTGCTGTACTATTATGTAGAAACCTGAAATAAATGTTTTAAAAAACAATATTTTTTTTTTTTTTTATAATTACTTCCGTTCCACGTCGAAGAAGTTCCCTCACGAATGGAAATATCCCAAGTATTATATCTAAACCAGAATTATCTACAAATATAACGGCACATTTATGTGGTACACCTTCGAGTCTTTTGCTCCATTCGTCGAGTGAATCGATTAACCAGGGACGTTCTGAAACATATTAATTCAATCATTATTATTATTATTATTATAACTGTTAATAGCAGACGTTCAATTAACACATGTGAATTACTTGGAATTTTACTAAGAGCATCCTCGAATCCGAAATTATCCTTTTCCAACAAGGCAGAAATTTCTTTGGCTCCCCAATCGAACATGTTACCGGCGATGAGGTACCATATTAATTTTTTATTTCTCGTCGTTTCGTCTAAACGATCCAATTGTTCGATGTGATTAGCAAAAAGTGTCAATGCTTCTTTATTTTCCATTTCTTTTTGAGTCAGGTACGGATCGGGAAATTCGTAGTCGTGTAAAAATTGTTGTATCGTTTCTAAAATGCTTCGAACCGTTAACGATCCATAAAGTCTGGAATAAAAAAAAAAAAAAAAAATTTTTTTTACTTTTTAAATTTCAATTCGCCGTTCGAAGTAAAAAAAATAATAATAATAATAAAATATTTACGTGGGATTCGTTTTTAACTCTTTCAGTCTATTCAATAATTTTTCTTTAAAACTATTCGCCCTCTTTATTGCTGTCGAATTATTTTTTTGACTTTCGATGGCTTTTATTGTTATTTTTTCAACGGTCCCCTCGAAACATTTTAACCAGTACTCCCTAAAAAAAAATACAAAACGAAAAACCGTACTCCTACCTTAAATCGTTCGCATATCACAATTCATTACCTCGCCTCTTCATCTTGAACCAAGTTAACAACGTCTGGACAATACGTGTGCGGATTCAATAAAAATGGACAAACGGAAAAATCACCGTCGGACTCATTGATGTTTCCATTTCCGTTTCCGAAATTACCACAACCAGCAGACATTTTTCTCTCGCCTTCGAGTAGTTAAATAAACAAAAGAAAAAAAAAACAAACAAACAAACAAATCCGGTCATTTTAAAACCTTAAAAACAAAAAAAAAAAAAAAATGAATAACTTACGCGAAACACCTGAACTGGTTTCTTTTCCCCATTGTTCGGTACCCTTAAGAAAGGCACCAACTGTTCCCAAATAACCTTCGTGACGCAAGAATAAAGGTTTTATTTTATTGTCGCTCCAATAATTGACGGAACGTGAAAGGACGTCCATGTTTAATGCATTATTACATAAAAAATAACCGCCGAAATAAACCTGAAAAATATTAATATTAATTTTCTTTCATTTTTTTTTTTTTTTTTTTTTTTTGTTATTTTTTCATCCTTTTAAAAATTCTCCTTTGCCGGTGGAGGGGGGAGGGGAGGGAAATCAACAATTTAAAAAAACTGGATTTTGTAAAATACCTTGTCTACGTTATGCATTAATGCATACAAGGACGCAACTTGTCCTATGCTATTTAGGACGGTAAACAATAAACTTCTTGCTATGTCGGCTTCGGAAAATTTTTTTTGACTAGATTCACCTGAAAATTATGAAATCATTAAAAATATCTTAAAATAAAAAATAAATTATAAATAATTAAAAAAATAAATTGATTCCTACCATTATTAACATTTATTTTTCCAAAACTGGCAGCAATCAAATCACCGGATAATCCAGCAGATGTGTAATCACCACCAAATATATCCCTAACCAATATATCTACCTAAAAATACAAACATAAATAATCGATATTTTAAACATTTAATTTTTTGAAAATAATATCGATGAAGAAGTAATGGCATACTTTTTCATAATCCCCTTTCGCTGCCAATTCCAAAAGGTCATCATATTCTTTTGCAGATGTTAATAAACTACCTAAACCCCAAAAAGTTGCTCCGCCTAAAAACACAAAAACAAACATTCTGCTATGTAAACGGAAAAAGAATTTACCATAAATTTTTTTTTTTTTTGTAAAAAAGTTAAAATCAATCACCTGTTGACAAACCCCCGATTCTTTCATAACATTCTTCTCCAGTTACTTTTATGATTGACACACCTGATCCGATATTAACAAGAAGATAAGGATAAAGATTGGAATCGATGTTTTGAAAAATATATTCGGGTTTTCCATTTTGTTCGAAACTAAATGCTTCTTTCGATACATTTTTCAATAAAAAATTTGTTCCTTTTATTAAACAGTACATTTCATCTTCTTTATCTATTCTGTAAGAAAATAAAATAATAATAATTAATGATTCATGATTTCTTTTGTTAAGATCAAAAAAGAGATGTCATCGATAAAATCGTTTAAAATATAAATAAAGACGAGATGCAAATTTCGCTTTTTTGTTTTCGACAAATAAAAATAAATTTTTTTAAAATTTTCAATTAAGCTTATTAAAAAAAAAAAAAAAAAAAAAAAAAAATTCATAATGATTTGTACCAAGTAGTTACAAAAAGTATAAAAGTATAAAAATATTACATAATTCAGAGATAATAATAATAATAAAAATAAATAAATAAATAAACTTACAAAACTCCTAATTTTTCCTTTATACAACTGGCATATTTACAAACTCCTCCTCCTGTCACTTTAATAGTATTCCCTTTGACAAGCTCTTTGTTTCCGACAATGTGATTCTCTATAAAATCTAAACAATTTTCTAAATATTTTGTTTGAAATTTTAAAAAGTGTAAACGAGACATTTGTTCAATTTCACAATATTTTTGGTTACACATTTGACTAGTCGAATCGTTAATGCAACTATCAATAACATTATCACTATCATCTGTAATTATATTTCTTATAGTATTGCTTGTTTCACAATTATTTTCCCAATTATTATTTATTTTCGAATAGTCATTAGTAAGGCTTCCTGTGTTCACACCATTGGTCACATTTAATTTATTTATATTTTTTTTCCTATGATTAAAACACGATTGCTTATGTTTGGTTGTTGAATAATATGCGATTTTAGTAAGAGAACAACCTATGGAGAAAAATTAAAAAAAAAAAAAAAAAAAAAAAATCATTTTAAATTTAATATTAATTATTGATAATTTTTTTTTTTTCGTTTCAATTTTTTTTTTTTTTCTCTCGATCGTACATTTTAAATTAATTAAAATACAAAGGAAGTGAGAGAGAGAGAAAAAAAAAAAAAAAAAATGATTTACATCGAATGATCATTAAATGCGGGAATAAATACATGTTAGTTATGAAAACAAATAATTTTAAAAATGGACATATTGTTTAATAATTATCATCTCACAATTAAAAAAAAATTAATTTATATTACCTATATCGATGGCGAATCTTTTCCCGTTGTGTAAATTACAAAACATTTCCATGTATTCGGGTAATTTAATACTATTTGGTTCATTATAAACGTTACCCACACAACTAACGTCAGCCATGTTGAATTTATCTAAATCGAAACTCTCCGATATCTCTTCGATATGTATCGATAAATATCGATTAACTTCGACTCGACATATAATGAACTCGTGAAACAAAATTTACTTTTCCTAATGAAAAAAAAAAATAAAAAAAAAATAATAATACACTTACGTAAGTCATTTTATTTCATAATTTTTGCATGATAACAAGGATATATATAATTTCCTCTCTCCTACGTATAAAATATAATAGAACGAACCTGAAAATAAAACCTAAAAAAATGTGACTTGCAATATTGTTTTTTATTTATTTTATTTGAATGTCATTTAAAAAATTTATTTACCCTTTGAGTTGATATTTAAACAAGGTTATTCAAATATCATACATATTGTTTTTAATTAAATATTAAAAAAAACAATTTAAAGACTCTAAAATTTATTTTTAAATTAAGTTTATGTTAAAATTATTGTTTAAATGTGAATGTGATTCGTGAAAAACTAAGACAACTTACTTTTAAATAAAAAAAAAAATTAATTTAAAGCTTACAGTTTTTTGTCTTTTTATCCTATTACAAAATCCAATGATTATTTTTTTTTTGGTTTGTTTGTCTTGTTTGTTTTTATCTCATTAAGTGAACTTAATATGAAATTAAAAAGGACAAAAAAAAAAAAAAAGTTTTGTAATTCAAAGGTTGTTAAACTTTTAATAATTATGTTTTTTAATTACACGAGCCCCCCCCTTTTTTTTCTCTTTTTTCTTCTTATATTGAGTAATAAGCTAAAAAATAAATGACATTATCTAATACAATGACGAGAATATATTTTTATTACGAAATGAATTTGTATTATTATTATCATTTTACAATTACCCAATTGTAAATTTTGTATTACCTCAGTTATGATGATAAATTATTATTCTTTAAATTTAAATTTTGTCGATTTTAATAAAGTGTATTTGGCGTAAGTACAATACTTATCCGACATGAATGGAATGTAAAAAGCTCTGAAAAACACGCTTGATTTTTCCGAATTTAAAAATGGTATCGACACTAATGGAGTCCATTTGTCCGTTTGTTGGCTATAATTCGGTTCAAGCGGTGTTTCTTCCCTACCATAATCGCAATCGATTAAAAAATGACATTGATTTATGTCGAACTAAAGCAGAAAAAAAAAAGGCTGTTTTTGTTCCCCCATTGAAAACATTTAAACGAAAAAAAAAAAAAAAACGATTCTCTCACATATCTGGAAGGTTCTTCCTTGTTCATATCGTTAAAATGTGAATGTATCAAAGTTGTCGCGTTCGGACTCGAACTGTATTCCGCCGGAAGTTGACCTTTAAATTCAGATTTTATAAATTTAAGGCTCCAGCTGTAACGAGAAAAGAAAAAGGTTATGAATGTAGCGTCCAAACGAACATTTTTGTTTTCTTGTGGATTTGTATCGTACTTGTTATTGGGTAAAAAAAAACTATTTGGAAATCTGTGCCATTCTTTTCCAACGCAAACGTTCACTGGAGTCTTATCAAATTCGTTTCCTCTCTCTGCATTTATTTTATTCAATTCTATGTACAGGTCCATGGGTGCGTGATACGCTGAAAAAGTAACCACAAGTTTTAATTGTGCAAACTTTATCACTTTTACCTGTTTAAATCGCATCTCACCTGTGTACAGAGCGAAAATTCTAGATAAGCTCAAGCATATCATAACGATACAGGAGAAAATTCCAAGGATTTGCGAACCAGGTAAACGTTTTGAATTTTTACCAAATATTTGTGACACGATGATCGAATACATTATTTGCATGGAATGAATGCAAACGGCTCCGCAAAGGCATATCAAAGGGTATACCGGAAATAAAAATCGCTCTTCCTAAAAAAAATTTGAAATCAAATGTAAAATTGTTTGAAAAATAAATAAACACCTTATAATATAAATAAATAAACACTAATAAAATATTTAAAAAAAAATAAATAAACACTTTATGGGGTTGAAATGTGAATACGATGAACCAAATATAAAATGGCGTAAGATAAATCCAATGAGAAAAATATTCTCCTTTTCTTTTTATCCTTGATGCGACAAAATTTCTTAAAAGCTGGAATGAAATCAAATAAAGAGTTAAACAATGTATCGATTTAAAAATAAAAATGAAATTTTTTTCTTTAAAAATACTTACAATGAATGAAGGAGCCAAAATGGCTGCGATGAAAACTATGTTAAAATTTAATAAACCGTTGAGAAAATAAAAGCAAATTGGTTCAGTTCCATATAAGTTTGGACCATGATCAGTGAAAAGATTGTACATGACAATGTTGAGAGGAGCTATTACAAATTTTCCATACAATTCTGAATCCATTTTAATCAATGGTACCTGAAAATACAATTTTCATTAGAAAAAATTACTACTACACGACTAAACGATTTCTAACTAAATTCTTTATTATTATTATTAAAGTAAATATAAATGATGACACTTACCAATATAATAATAGAGGAAATCACTGACCATTGAAAAAATTTCCTATGTAATTTTCTTATAAATAACATATCAATTGCAATCGGTGCACCTGTTAAAGCTGCAAATGGCCAACTGATAAACGTTGAAAGCGCAACTGTAAAAACCGCCAACTCATACTTTCTCATGATCCAAGCCCCAGTTGACAATAAACACATATACCTGTATAGAAATGTAACAGTAAATACCAATTTAATAAATGTTATAAATCTAGATTCAATTCGATAAAAAACTTACATGGAAAAGCTAGAAGGTAAAAATGCAGTGCTGGAAATAAACATTCCCGGACTGAAAAGCATAAAAATAAGTACCATTTTTCCAACTTGCATACCAAATTCTTTCATGACTGCCCTAAATAGAAAATTATTTAAATGAAATTCATTTATTTATAGAAATTTTAAATAAAACTTTTATCAACTAATTATCCCTTTTTTTTCCCTTACTTATAAAAATATGTTTCACAAAAAGCACAAAAAAGACCTAATACACATCTAATTATGTAAAATATTAACATTCGATTTGGTTGAAGTAAATTCGAATAAATCCATGCTGGTACAACATGAAGTAAAATGTATGTATAGGATCTAAGGGCGTATGTTGGACTGTATTCCCACGTTTGAAAACCTTTTCCAAACAGTAAAAAGTGACTCTGAAAAAGAAAATCAAATAAAATTAATAATAGTGATTGATAATTATTTTGCATTTGAGATAGAAATAAAATAGTATAAAGTAATACTTACAGGTTCCCAATAATTATAAGTTTCATCGCAGTCGCTAATGTGACTCCAAACAGCAGCACAAAACCTGGCTGATAAAAATGCTTTGAAGGCAGTCTCAACGCTCAAATAAAAACTTTTATTATCGGTGGATTCATTTCGTCCAGCCCTTAAAACAAATTTACCCTTAATGCATCCATTTATACAATTAACAGGTGGATTTTTTTCTTAAACAAACTAAAAGAGCCATCATACATTTCTTTTCTTTCCGGCTTTTTTGGTTTCAAGTTTTTCTTTGGTTTATTTCCATTTTTATTTTTTTGAGGCTTGGTTCCACTTTTTCCAGAGCCTTTTATTTTTAAAAATCCAGTTTTAGCTTGTGTGACCATTTTGTATAAATCACATTTTTACACAATCAAAGTAAAACTGCTAACTAGAAAAATTGTTTAGGGTAATAAGAGATCAATCTACTACCACGTTAAATTTAACAGTGGCAAACGCTTTTTATTATAAATTATAAATATTGGCGCGAAGCCAATGATAAATATATTATTAAAATACAAAATATGTATAAAAGGTTAAAATTATGTACACTTTTTTTAAATTTAAATGTTTTTTTTTTTAGTTTTCCTCAAGTCTTGTATTACAAAACCCCATTTGAGTTTTTAAGTCTATAAGTAGTAATAATCCAAAAAGTTATTAAAACATTGAATGTTATTCACTTATTGGGTCTTTTCTCCGATCTAGGTTTTAGTGGTTTCTTTCCAGCAGAAGTTTTTTCTTTCGATCTCCATTGTATAAGCAAAGGATGAGTTTCTAAAATTTAGATGATAGTTTAAAAAAGAAAAAAAAAATCAAATTATGAATTTAATAAAACTAAAAACAAACCTTCACAAGGAGGCCCCTCCAATTTTACATCATATGATTTATACTTTTTTTTTTTGACAGGCGGCGAAGTGTTTTCTTTGCTTTCTTTTTCTTTTTCTATAGTATGATCTGGAACTCCAGTAGCTTGCCATCCATCTTCGGGATCCTCAACTTCAGGAGCAATGGGTAAAAATTGAAGAGATGACAAATCTTCTTCATCCTCATCGGAACTACAAAAAGCAGCTACTTTTTCCCTTGTGCAAACATCCACCTGTAACCGCATAATTATTAAAGATATTAAAGTTAATAATGTATTGTTAAAATCAATAATTAATCGAATTGATTTTAATAAATCAACCAACCTCTAAATCTTCATCCTCATGCTGAGGACCAGCTTCGATTGATTTATCTTCATCATCAATATCAAATTCAGATTCTTTTTCTTCATATTCGACATTTTCATCCAATTCTTTAAAATCAGGAGCAAAAGCAGACCAATTTTCTACCTGATTCTGAGCCCAAACTGAAACTACACCAGATGATATTGATGTTATGATAGGCCTCACAGGATGCCACTGAAATTATATACATATTCAATAGCAGTAAAACAATTCGAATAAAGTGATGGAAATATATTTATTTGAATTATAAACTTTTTTCGCTTACCACAACATCAAGCAAAACTTCTCCTTTGGTACCATGAAGAATTTTCATTAAAACTCCAGTAGCTTTTTCCCAAATGTACAAAGCATGTTGTCGAGCTGAACCAGCACAAATATATTCTCCATCACCGGAAAAGCAACACTTTTTCCATGTTGTCCTTGAAAAAATTGCAAACAAAAAATAATTAATAACAAATATTTATTTCATATAGAAATTTTCTTAGTTATAAATACTTGTTAACTAAATCTTGGAGTTTTTGAACAGGTTCAGGTTCTCCATCTCTACCAGACCCAATTACTTCAGATCCATTATACACTCTTATAACTCTATCAGCTGTATTTACTAAAAAACATCTTTAAAAAAAAAAAAAATTATTTTATTCAATTGAAATGAATTGATTATATTATAAACATTTTAAATCTGTAAACCTACTCTCCTCTCCTAGCAAATTCTATACTTTTTATACTTGTCGTACTCGCAGTTCCAAGCATGACTTTAAAAGACGATTTTAGTGTTAAATCGGTAGTTTGATAAATGCAAACCTTTCCTTTGGAATTTCCAGTATATATATATTCTCCTCTTCTATCAAATGATGCCACTATATTCAGATCATTCTATAAAAAATACTTGATTTATACGAATACACAAAAACAAATAAATTATCAATTAAAAAATTTTACTTACATCTTCGTCTAAAGGTACAATTTGATGTTCGCCATCGACATCAACCAAAACAGCAGCATGTCTCATTGGGCAAACTAAAAACATTTTGTCATTTCTAGGATGAAATTGAACTTTTAAAATTGGTGAAGGAAATCTATATTTTTGTGTACATTCTCCACTGAGAATCTCCCATATACATACATTATTATCGGTTGATGCCGATAATAGTTTGTATCCATCTCTCGACCAACTATTACCACACATACATGTAAATATTACCATAAATAAATACCATGTAAATAAAGTGTAAAAGTGAGGGGTTGATTATTTAAAATTACCTTAAAGAACAAACAGGATGAACATGGGAACTAATTATTTTAGCAATTCCTCGAGTTAAAAAATCCCAAATAACAATTCTTCCATCGTTACATCCAACAGCTAATAGTGTTCCTCTTTTATTAAACGAACAAGTTACAGCTAAAGAAATACAGTCTAATGCTCCATCGAATTCCTCCGGATAGTTTTGTCCAAAAGATTCTAATTAAAACAAAAAAAAAATTTGTACTGTATATATCAACAAATTGTACAGTAGTAAAAAGTAATTTTTATATAATTAAAAAAAGTAACTTATTTTATATTATTACACGAGATAAGTTATTTGATTTCATTTAAAAAAATAAAACGTTTATTATTCAATTATTTTCATGTTTAAATTTTTAATTACCTAATAATTCTAAATTCATTTCCTCACTTAAGAGTTTACCAATGGTACTTTATCTCATACATGTATGTAAGGTAAACAAAACTAAACCGTGTAATGGAAGTCTAATGACACGACAAATTTTCTTCTGCTTTTAAACGCGTAAATTTTCCCGCCTTCATTTTTATATACATATATTTATTAGGTCGATGTAATTATAAAAATATTTATTATATATATTGTATTTATTAAAGTTTTAAACGTTTTTTATTTTAAATAAGAAAATAAATAATTTTTATGATTAAATTTATAAACAAAAAAAAGAAAGAAAAAGGTGGAAGAAAAAAAAATTTAAAAAGCATTTCGGAAAAAAAAAATATTAATAAGAAATTTTTATTTTATTAATACAATAGTTTTTTTGAAAAAAAAAAAAAAACCAATGGAAGACAAAATTTTAATTCAAAACTTTTCAATGTTCGATAATAATAATAACCAAAAAGAATATTTACAGTCACGACAGAAAAAAAAAAAAAAAGAAATAAACAAAAAAAAAAATCCCATCACCATCACAAACACAATAAAAGATTTGCCCGACACCTTCCGAAAAAAAATTTTCTTTTTTTTTTTTTGTTTTTTTTTTTTTTTTTTAAAAAGGAAAATTAAAAAATTTTTTAATTATTCGGTTCAATGAACCTAACCCCAAAACTTCATCATCATCATCATTATTTATTTATTTTATTATTATTAATATAATTATTATCATTATTATTAATTTGTTAACATTAAAAATAAATTATTAATAAAATAAAATAATAAATTTATTATTTTTTTTTAATAAAAATATTCGGTACCTAATTTTCCAGTTTTACTCAATATTTATCATTATTATTATTACAATTATTATTATTATTATTAAAAACAAAAGCAAAAAAAAAAAAAATCGCGTTGCGTTCGTGACTGTTTAATGAGTAACAAAATGAAAAATCAGGTACGTACGTCGTTATTATTATTATTATTAATCACATTTTAATTTAATTCCCAATTTTTTTTTAATACCCAACACACGAGAGATTTAAATATCATTATTAACAAACAAACAAACAAACAAATTTGTTTTAGAATTCACTTAAAATCTATAAAAAAAAAAAAAATTTATTAATCGAAAATTGGCAACGTTTGTTAATTATTTAAACGCGTTATATAATTAATAAGAAAAAAAAAGCATTTCCGGTTATAATTTAAAAAAAAAAAATTTATCACAGCGTTATTATCATCATCATCGTCGTAATTAAAATTAATAAAAAACTTGATTTGAACTTGATCGCACTTTTTTCCCCCTTTTTTTAGTGGGGAAGAAGGACTTTAAAGTGTTCCTTAATCACCAATTATTATTATTATTATCATTTTTGTCCATTTAATAACGATATCCATAATCCATAGAATTAGAAAGACTAGAAATTTCTCTCTCTATCTTTCTCTTTTATTAGATTTCCATCAACCATTTCCGGTTACTACGAGACAGAGAGAGAGAGACAAAGTCATACGAGCGATCAATTTTAATAATACAAAATACTACTTAAGTCAAATCAAGATATATTTATTTATTTTTTTTAAAAATTCACCGATTGATTGATTCGTTTCAGTCATTCATTCATTCATTCATTCATTTTAATTATTACCCTCGTAATTTATAATTTTAATTATAAAAATTTATTTAAAAAAAAAAAAAATTCATATTGATTATTATTATTATTTTTTTTTTTTATAAAAAATAAATTTTTTGTTAATTTATACAAAAAGTCTGTTAACATTTCTATTTTAAAAAACAAATGGCACCGTATTTATTATTATTATTATTATTATTATCATTATTATTAATAATATTATTATTATTAATATTATTAAAGGGAATTTAAAAAAAAAAAAAAGACTAAAGTGGTCAATATGAATTAATATTATTAAGTTGGCACGCTAATTAAATAAACCGGAAATAGTGCCAACATTTCAAAAAAAAATTCCGATAGAGGGAGAGGGAAAGGGGGGGGGGGAAAGAAAGTGATGTACGACCGGAAGTACATTTCGATTATCGATCGTATAATCGAAATTTTATGGTCGAATCGATTTTTTTTAACGCCATCCTTGCGTCATCTGTTTGAACGTTTCCGTTCTCGTTGATCGAGAATATAAAACTTCCTGTGGTGGATCCGGGAACGATCCTGGAATGTCGTCTAAACGTCCTTCGCTTTTCGAAAGAGCCGAATAAGACGTTGAAAATATTTCAGCATCTCTTCTCATGAACGGCGTTATGGCTTCGTTCGGATCTAATATGGATTCGCTACTGCGTGATAGACCCGATGGAGCCGTTCCTAAAGTTTTATTTATTATATCTTGTCGCCGTCTTTGAGTGCTGACCGTGCTTCCGGCAATGGATGTTCTTCCGCTGCGAACGCTTTTCGGAGAATGTTCGGGACTTGACGGTTCGGTGTCTTGATCCCATTTTCTCGTAGTGGTCCATTGCTCCGTGAATTCCGATGCGGATCTTGCGAGTGACGGTTGACTAACCGAACGAATCATGGAACTTCTTGTGTAACCGTAATCGGTTTCGTCGTCGTCGAAGTAGGACCTTCTGTAATAGCTGCTCGGTCGGCTGGATACGTCGCTCAACGTGTCAACTCTGTCTTGTCTCGTGTAATCGACCATGACTTCTGTCATGCTTCTGACGTCCGTACGATCGGATCTGAAGCTGGGTCTTCTGTTGCGGAAATCTGGATATATGGTCGATTGACCGGGGGTATCGGGTACTAGGGTCGTGTAACTAGATCCTCCGTCGGAATCGTATTCGTAGAGCGTCGGCAACGAACTTCTTCTGCTACGGTTATCCCAATCTTGTTTCTTCTTGTATTTATTCGGAGGTTGACCATTTTTATCGTATGGCACTTTATCCGGAGGTGCTAATATACGAATTATGACATCCCATTTTTTCGGTTCGAAAAGTGTTTCGTAACGTTCATCACGGCTAATTCGTTCGTAGTCCTCTTTGACTGTTGCTTCCGACAAAAGAGTTCGAAGAGTGGATTCCGTTGTGATTATTTTACGCCATTTTTCACGATCGGTTGTCGTCAATACATCGTTTGGAGTATCTTCTTCCTCTGGTTGTATGGGTTCTAAAACTTTAGTGAGAACGTGCCAGTTTTGAACTGGTGCTTTTGGTGGAGGTGGTGAAGAAATATCCAGTTTGCTCAAGTATGTTCTTTCGACTTTATGAATTGGACGTCTCTCGGGAGGAGGGGAAGGATGAACCGTGCTGACAGATGTTTCCGAAAGAGTATCCCAATCAGGATGATCTCTGGGCACGTCTTGACCCGGAGCCGGATAATTACGAATGGTCACGTCCCATTTGTTTGCTTGCGGTTTAGGATGACGTTCAGTAACGAGACGTTTGTGTCTTTCGATATCTTCGATCGTTTTCTTTTCGGTTATGGTTCTTAAGAAAACGTCATCAACAATGTGAGAGGTGATTTCGGGTCTTCTGGGAATGACAACCGGTTCGATCAATTCAGAAGTTTGATGTAATTCTGTCGTATCCGTTTTGTATGGAAGAATGCTCGGAGGAGGCGGAGAAACTTTCTTTCTTATTTCAGTCAAATCACTTCTCTTAACTTCTGTTCGATCAGAATCGAAAGATTTGACAGGAACTGATCGCAATGGTGAACTAGTGAAATCTCTCGTCGTTTCTATCTTTTGATCTTTCTTCACAACGGTTGAATATGTCGGAGTGGGTTGTTTTGGCGGTGGATGTATTTCGGGTATGAAAGAGAATGTCGTTTTGTGTTTCGGTATTTCCGTTCTCTCGAGTATGGTAGTCAAATTTCTAGCTTGAGTCGTCATAGCACTTTCTACATCAGAAATACTTCCAGTCGGAGTGATCGGAGGTGGCGGAGGAGAACGTTTAACTTTAACTTGAACATCGAATTTAGGCTCGGGTACGGGTACGACAACGTCATGAATAACGGATTCGGCCAAACTTCTCGTGTCGACATCTTCAACTTCGGAATGTGCCGAACTTGGAGATTCGGATGGATAATCGCTGGGTAAAGTATCGGAATGTTCGGACGGAATAAGTGCTTCCGAACTGCTTGCGGTGACTGCCAACGGTGGAGCATGGGCCCTTGGAATTTTCAAACCTTCAAACATTGATATATTTCCAAGGCTTGATCCGGAAAGTTTTGTTATTTCCGATCCAGACCCGATCGTGCTGAAGGGTTTATGTACGACTTTAACTCTTCTGTTCTTCAAACAGTAATAAGAACATCCAAGACCCAAAAGCAATAATGACAAGAACAAAATTGCACATATTATCATTAATATTTGATAACCGGCTAATGGAGGCTTAAGTGGGACTGGCGCAACCGGTTCCAAACTGTAATTACACACAAATAATAATTTTTTTTTAAAGCGTCAAAAAAAAAAAAAAATGGCAACAACAAAATGCTTAAAAATTAATAATAATAATATTTACATTGGAGCCGGTAAAGCGGCCGGAAGTGGAGCGATCGGAGGCGGATATCGGCATACAATTGTTATGATTTCATCACCATCCATTTCCAAACCTGGATGAAACCGGACGACTATATTATTTGTAAAAACTCTTTGTGGTTTCTAAAAATATAATAAGAAAAAAAAAAAATAATTATTATTATTACATTTTTCTCAAAAATAAAAATAAATGAGAGTAAAATTTTTTTTTTTTTTTTTATACCTGTCTTGTACCACATCCTTTCAATGGTAATTCCAAATGATACGTTAAATTTCCACTTCCGGCAATTTGACAAGCGCTATTCCTATCGAAATCCGCATAAACGATACCGAAAAAAGGTTCGTTAAATTTAAGTTCGATCTACAAAAAAAAAAAAAAAAAACAACACAAAAAAAAGTTTAGTCGTGGCAATAACGAATTTAACTAATTACACTACTAAAAATTATTTTATTTAGTTTCAAAGATCATTCGTAAATCAAATCATAATTTTTTGCGGGGCGAATTGAAAACTTATTATCATTATTATTACGCAACAATAATAATCATTTGTCTTCTGCTTCGTGTGTGTGCGTGTAAGATCATTGCAACAAACAAAACAATCGAAATTGTTTTGTTTGTTCGGTTACCACAACGTTTTTCACATTGTTAGATCACGGTTTAATGTTTACGTTTCCGGTATAACAATTGTTCGTTTCCGGTTTAATCATTGCATTTATTTCATCGGTGCATAAAAAGAAAATATTTTCTCTTTATTATTATTATTTTATGTCGACAGGTGAACTTTGTGAATTAGAATTAAAAAAAAATCCCTAAAAACGATGATGATGATGATGACGGTTAATAAAAAAAATTTTTTTTTTTTATCAGGGTAATGAGTCATTGGGTGCGGTATTTGATAGTGGTATCAGAAATCGGTCGATCGGTCGCGCCTACGCGTTTTTATTCAACTTCCACGTAATTTACTATAATACATGTATAATAAAAACCTGACGTACCTGCATTGAACCTGCAACGCAATTTAACGTTGCTTTCGTACGATTGAGAAAAATCAATGGAGAAAGATCGTCGAGTTTAATAACTTTACCATCTAAAACCGTTTTCTCCGGAAGTCCTTCTCCCTGATATTCTACATTATTACCGTGGCTGGCATAATTTGATTGTCCAGCAACTGGAATTCCGCATATAAATGCGCATGATAATAATATTATCAATCTTATTTTCATCTGAAATAAAAAAATCAAAAGATGAGCATGAAAAAAACATTTTTTTAAAAGTTAAGATAATAAAAAATTACACGTTTGCCATTACGTAACGTAAAAAAAAAAAGAGAAAGTGAAAGAAACCGAATTCGCAAAAAAAAAAAAAATATTGAATTCTTTTTACGTTTTATACAAGACGCCATTTTTAATTTACCTGAAATACCTGAGTATCGAACGCATAAAAATTTATTATGATAAATATTCGTTTGACGTCATATTAAAACGTTTTGTGTGATGTGCCACCATCATCCCTCATACAAATCGTACGGAAAAAATCGTTATCGTGATTAATACACGAAATAAAATCGATCAATCGAAGGTCGATCGATCGATCGATCGATGGATAAAAAAAACTTTCACTCTTAAAAAATTTGCATTTAATGTTATGTCATCATGTTTTCATAACTTTTTTTCGTTCGTTCGGTTAAATACTTTGAACGAACGCTTTGGAAAAACGTTCGGTTGGTTGTTTTTTGTGTCAACGTTTGTTGAGACAAACGTTTTACGAAATTAAAAGATCGAAACGAGTAGATAAAAAAAAATAATAGTAATAATAGGTAAATAACATTGAGTCGAAGGTGAAAGGTGGTGGTAGATAGGTATTAATAGTAGTTATTCTCTCTCTCTCTTTCTCTCTCTCAGTATTTATCTATCCATCTTTTTCTTTCGTTTCCATTGCTCCTACTCGTACATGTTAAGAATTTTTAATGTAAATTTTTTTTTTTCGCATGCGAAATTTAAAATAAAAAAATAAAAAATTAAAATTTTTTTTTTAATTAAATCGTTTGTTATTTCGTTCCGTACCTGAAAAAAAAAAGAAAGAAAATTCAGGTCACGTAGAGGAAACCTTGTGTTGGCAAGCACAAACGACTATTTGGAGTTTAAATGGTAAAAAATAAAAAGAATTTTCCACGTGACCTCATCATTCGAGAGGAAAAAACTCATTTTCCGTTTCCACCCACATACGGGATTCATACCCATATCGTCGTCGTCGTCGACGTCATCACGAATCACATAGGAAAATGTTAATAATGAGAATGAGAAAAACGTTTTGTCGTCGTCGTCGGCATTTTCTTTTGATAAATTCGTATTAAAAAAAAATCACGCATGAACGATCACGTTAATAATATTTTCCTAAGGCTTCGATGACAATCAACGAGATGAAAACCACAAAAGAAAAATAAAAAATTGAAGGATTTGAATGAATTAGTCACATTTAAAAAACAAAAAACAAAAAAAACTTCTTTGTGGCAAAGACCCAGAAAGAAAAATTCAAGGTTGACAGTGGGCTGGTTTAAATTGGTTGTAGGTACAAACGGAATAAAGAAGGAGTGCGAAAAGGAAATTCTAAATGAGACAAAAACATTAAAACTTTTAAAATCAATCGTTTACGAGACTCCATTTTAATTTTGCAAGGCTTGCCAACATTGCTTAACAAAAAAAAAAAAAAATAAGCTTTTAACCTTTTACATCAAAAACGAGTTTTTCCTTATTCAATGCCTTTAACAACAACTAATTCCCCCCCCCCATTTCCCCCCTCATCCATCCCATCCATTTTTATTTCATATTCCTAATTAGGACTCTCGTACTTATTACGTACCTGAAAAATTTTTTTATAACTATAAAATGTTACGTACATTAATCCGTTTATTATTATTATTATTATTATTTATAGAAATACCATATTGCGATATTAATAATAATAAAATTCTCGTCGTGATTTTTTCCTTTTTTTTTTTTTAATTACAAATAATTTTAAGCCACATCATTAAAAAAATTTTTTTTTCTTATTCAAATTAACCCCAAAAAAATTTACGTTCGTTCAGGTACCAACTTTAATAATAATAATAAAACGTATCAATGCCTGATTTTCATTTTTTTTCGAACCTAATAAAACCTTCATTTTCATTTTTTTTTTTACACGCGGAAGTTCGATTGTAATTATTATTATTATTATTACATTTCTAATTTTAAAATTTATATGTGTATAGGTTTCACTAAAAAGGTTTATTTCAGGTTTGAAGGTTGAAAAAAGAAAAAAAAAACGAATAAGAAAATTCTAGAATTTTTTCTACATCGTTCATAGCAAACACTAATAAAATATCATCATCATAACTATTTTCACACCTTTTTAGAAGAAAAAATAATAATAAATTAAAAACTATAAGTCAGTCAGTCAATCAGTCATTCATTCATTCATTCCATTAATATTTATTTATTCAATCATTTTAACAAGAATTTTTAATTATTAAAATTCAAATAAGAAAAATACGAATGCGTCACTTATGCATCCATTCTAAGAATTCACACACACACGCACACGAAGTCGAGGTTTTCCACATTATTATTATTATTATTATTATTATTATTTACATTCTAGGTATTTCAATTACACAATAAGATATTTTTAGAAATTAAATTTTTTTCTAGAAAAAAAAAAATAAATAAAACAAATTTGGGTGCGAAATGACATTAAACGAAAAGATTTCAATCATTGGAACATCACGATTTATAATCAGGACCGTATACGGAATTTTTTTTTTTTTATTAAAATTTTCCGATTTGATAATGAAACGAGGAAAAAAAATTATTTTTAATAAAACGTTTTATTTATTTTTATTTTTGCTGCCATTAACTCGAAATCGTCATTCCGCAAACGATTTAAATTTTAAAGAGTTCGTGATTTAACGTTTGGTAAAAAAAATTACTCATACAATGACCTCGAACGCATACGTTTAACTTAATTTACACTCAAGCCATCTTACGTTTATTATTAACACATTTTCAAATTACACGTTTATACTTCATTTAAAAATCTTCACAAATAAATAAATTCATTTAAATAATAATAATAATAAAACGTAATAAAATTTTCACGCGTTCGTAATTTAATAATTTAACGGTTTTTTTTTTCTAAAATAATTTCCATTGAATTTTACCATTTAATAAATTCGAAATCAAATGATTTAAATTTTCCGCCCGATTTATTTATCGCAAAACGGAAATATAAAAAGAACTTTCAAATCATTAATTTTACAAATGATGAGAAAGTCATCTTATAATTAAAAAATTTTTTTTTTAAAATGATTGTTTGCAAATATCATTATTTAAACGGTGATCCGCGAGCAATCTAATAATAATAATAATAATGAGAGGAGGGAGGGAGGAAAGTGATCTGGGCGTTTAAATAAAGGAGAGATGAAAAGAAAAAAAAATCATGGGTAATGATAAAATGGCGTTGGCGAAAATACCAAGGACAAATGATAGGTTGAGGACTCCTCATAAAGACCGTTACACGTTTATAATAATTATTTAGAAAAAAGCGTCGGCGAGATGTTTGCCTTAATATTATTATTATTATTATTATTATTATATATATCGAAAACATTCAAATCGATTTTTTTTTTTTTAAATGAACGACAAATTGCGAAATAATTATATATACACGATCGATGAGATTTAAATAAATAACAAACATCTTCCTCCTCTTCTTCTCCAGCACACACTCCAGCGCACATTCCAGCAATTTCTATCGTTTATTACGTAATAATATTCATTTATATAAACACTAATCAACGTATAATTTAATAAGAAAAGAAAACAATCATTCCCTGACTGAATGAATTAAAACAAATTTTTCCAAATCGAACCCTGACCTACCGGATGTCAAAAAAAAAAAAAAAAAATTTTTTTTAAATTCTCACTAAAAATTACTTTTATTAGATTGGTGGGGGGGGGTAATAAAAAACGTTCGAATCGCAAAAAACTCTTTATACCCGTGTGGGGGGGCCTTAAAAATAAGGCGCGACAAACACACACCCAAGTATTATAGCAACTACGTTTGTAATAATAAATCCGGCTGTTAAATGGTAAGCAAAAAAAAGAAAAAAAATTACTTGAGTGGAAAGTTTTAATAACAATCCTTTTTTTTTTTATTGTTTAAAAATGATGATGATGATGATGATAATGATGAAGGTGAGATGAATGAAACAATCTCAGGTAGAGAAAAAAAATGAAACGTTTTCATCGGCGCGAATCGTTTCCAGGCGTTTGTTGTTGTTATAAATAAACGGATAATAACAAGTTTTTGTTTTTTTTTTTAAACAGAGCTTTGAACTTTGAAATGTTTTTTCTTTTTATAACAACATACAACATAATTAAACAACCCAAAACATAAAAATGTTTCTTTCTTTTTTTCTTTCTTCCTCGATATATATATTAAAATTTTGGGCGTTAATCTTTTTGATCGACCAGAGAGAGAGAGAGAGAAGTAAATTGAGGTTAAATATGGCGGATGTGTGATAAGGTAACAAGGTTCAAATAGGAATGACCCTAAATGGTTGGTTGACAACGCCTTAAAAAAAAAAAAAATTTTCCCAAACTCTTTTTCATTTTTGTTCAGATCAACAACCATATTTTCCAGTCAGTTTTCCGATACCCCCACACACAAATAAAAATTACCCGATTAAACGTTTTCAATTTCCTATTTCGAGATACAAACAAGTAATAAAAGTTGATTTTCCAAACGGGAAAATTTTAATCCGTATATTATTTTTCGACAAACGAAACAAACTCAACAAACGCAACAACAACAAAAAAGAAATCTTTTTATTATTATTATTATTTCCACTCATCGTTTCCTGTTCTCATCTTTTTCATTTCCTTTTCATATCCTGTTCATTGGTAAATTTTTTTTTTCTTATTAACAAAAACAAATTTTAAAACTTTTTGTTTGTTTTTTTGTTTGTTTGTTAAATACCCATTGTTTATTGTAATGGTAACAATTTCAAATTACAAAATTTAACTTTTCTTTTTTTTTACTACAACTACAACTACAACAAGTTTTAACAATTTTATTATTATTATTATTTCTTTTAAGAAGTAAAACAACAAGAAAAAAAAGGGGTCACGAGGTCAACATTTTAATTTAATTATTCTTTTAGTTAACGACTATAAAATGAAAT